TCATTACATTAATTATTTTATTTCTATTAAAATTTTCAGTCTGCTTGAAATTCTTGTTTGAGGTGTGAAAGAAAGGATTTAACTTTATTCTTTTCCAAGGGGTTAGCCATTTGTCCCAACTCCATGGCATAACACGTCCTCTCCACCCACCCAAAGATTTGAAATGCTACCTGTTATATTACATTCACTTGATTCAGCTTCTGTACTTTCTAATCATTCCATTGGTTTCTCTCTATTCTTGCACCAGAACCATATGGTTTATTTAATCTTCATTGTAAAATGCTCTTGAGTTGCTTCAACTCATAGCGACCCTATGTACAACAGTTCTGAACCCTGCTCTATCCTGTGCCAGTATCATAGTTTCTGATACTCCCAGCCCCACTACCGCAGTCACTAAGCCTATCTGTCTCACTGAGGGTCTTCCTCTCTTGCACTGTTCCTCCATCCTCTCAAGCATGATGTCCTTCTCCAAGGGTTGGTTGGTCCTTCCTTGTAACATGCCCAAAGTATATCAGATGGAGCTTCAGAATCCATGCCTCCAAGAAGCAGCCCGGTTTCATCCTCTCCAGGACAAACCTGTTTGTTTTAGCAGTCTATTCAATAATCTTCTCCAGCATCACAACTCAAAGGCATCAATTCTCCTTCTCTTATCCCTAGTCATTGTCCAGCTTTCTGATGCATAGCAAGTAATTGTAAAGGCTATGGCCTAGATCAGGCACACCTTAGTCTTCAGGCTGACATCATTGCTCTTCAGTACTCGAGAAGTTCCTAACGACAGATTTTCCAAGTGCAATTTGCTTTTTGATTTCCTGGCTGCTGGTACCAAGAGTGTTAACTTCAGATCCTAGCAAGCTGAAGCTGTTAACAATCTCTATCACTTCACCATCTATTTAGGGTCCAAACTATTTGAATCTGTTTGTGTTCTTTACAATATGGTTATGTCAGTCTCCTAGGTACCTATGTTTCCCCCCTACAGTTATATTAATTGAAGATTTACTGATTTTCGTGCCAATTTATCCCCTAAATGATAAGAAGTTGAATCAGACAAGTCTGGTTCAAATTGTTTAACATCTTGTTTTTGCCAAAAGAGTGTGAGTGGAGTCTTCTCTAATTTCTTCACTTTTTATCTGGATGAATTTCAAGCAAGAGCATATAATACTGGTACAATCCCACATGAAATGTGTTTTTTCCGACATGATCTATAAAGGTTCATACTTCATACACTAAACTGGACCAACTCTTCCCCATATTTGTATATTAGTTAAGATTACAAGGTCTAGATTCAAACTCCTTGGGTTGAAGTCCCAGTTCTGTCATTATTTTTTGTTTTCTTCTATTACCATGAAGCCACTCTGCGTGATTCCAGGAGAACTCAGTCATCTGTGGACAAAGATGCCCCCCCCCGAGTCCTTGGCCCAGATTTGTTATCTATTTGATTTCTAAATGGCTTTCTTCCATAATTTCCAGGGTTGAGTAGCTTTTCCCTTATTTTTAAATTTTCTGATTACTTCATTCCTCTCAGACAAAGGGAGTCATTTATGTCCTAGCAAACTGTCTGAAGGACATTCTTAATGTTTGGGAGTTTTTTTCTCAACTCAATAAAAACACAGCTCATCACTGTCAAGTCATAACTGACCATCTAGCTGGTTTTCAGAGGCTGTAAATCATCCGGGTAGAGATCGCTGTCTTCTTTCCTGGGAGCTTCTGATGCATCCAAAACACCAGAGAGGCCAAGGCTTTGTGTTGGCAGCATAGCATCCTACGGTCTATGCAGTCAGAACTCCCTAGTGCTGTGCAGTTGTTGTGTACTGCTAAATCAGCTGACCCTCCAGTGAATTTTCCGAGGCAGTCAATTGCAGGGGAGGAGACTGCCTCCCTTTCTCCCACAGAGCAGAGGGTGGATCTAAATTGTGTGCTTTTGTGTTGGCAGCTCAACTCCTTACTCACTAAGCCACCAGAGTTTACTAATACTGTCTTAGCATTGCCCAAATCTTGTTAAAGTTAGAATTCTATACATTATATTGCCAATTATTTTCTTTAGTGCAAGTGCCATCCTGAGAATGAGATAAAAGTGAACTCATTCTGCAACAACCTGTTTCAAAGCATCTACCTTTCATAAAGAAATACTGCCTAATTCCACCTTCTCTGATTAATCCTTTCATCTCAAACTCATTCACTTTCATAGATCAAAACCCAACTGTAACAGCCAAAGATTGGAAAGACTCCCTTTTCTTCTAACAACAAGTTAAAAAGCAAAGTCTATTAAGATTTTCCCAGTGGCCTACCCTGGAAAAGCTTAAATCTTGGAGGAAGTTGTTCTTCACTTTTTTTTCTTTCCACTTTTATTAGACTTGGAAGATCCAGAAAAACTCTATTCTGAGTGGCCCTGCCTGACTTTCCCATCTTAAACTTCTTTAAAAGCACCTTAAAAAAAGAAAATAAAAGCACCTTTTCACCTGGTTACTTCCAAGGAAAACTGCTCCTCGAAGGACTTCAAAACACTTGCTGGTTTGATTGTATGATGTTGAAGAACCAGACTGATTTGGATTTAAAGATCCAAATTCTTTCAGCTATGAGATCTTACACGAATTATTTAAATTTGCTTATCAGTTTCCTAATCTATAAAAGAGGGAGGTCTAGTGGCTGTGCTGTCAACCCAAAGGCTTACAGTCTGAATCCACCAAATGCTCCCCAGGAGAAAGATGGACAATTTCCACTCACGTGATGTACTGCTTCTGAAAACCTGCTGGAGGGTCAGCTATGAGTCTGATCAGACTCAGCAATACTTAACAACAACAGTATATAAAACAAGAGTACTCATTTCAAAGTCCAGATTTGTTATAAAGAATAAATGAGATGATCTATGTAAAAAAATTAACACAACGCCTAAAGTATATTCAGCCCACTACACCACAAAAAAAAAATGAGACTCGATATAACGTTTCCAAGTTATTCTTCATTTAACCTGGCAACTTCTTTTAACTCTTAGTATGGGATAGGACTCTCTGAGGACTCAGAATTCAGTCCATAATCCTATTTCCCTTCTACTAAAACAAACAGGTGCTTTACGGAATAATGTATAATGGTTCATACTTCACAAATTGAATGAGACCAATCTTTCTCTATGTTCCTATGTTAGTTAAGAATATAGAAGCTATAGAAGATGAAACTTTATAATCTTTTCCTCCAAGGCTTTGGGCATGTTGTTAGGAGCGGCTATTCCTTGAAGAGGGACATCATGCTTGGGAAGGTGGAAGGACAGTGGAAGAGAGGAAGACACTTAACCAGGTGGGCTGACACAGTGACTACAGCAATGGGCTTGAGAATGTCAGAGATTGTGAGAAAGGCACAGGGTTCAGATCTATTGTTTATATGGTCACTAAGAGTTGTACTTAACTCCACGGCACCTAAAAACAACTGTTTATACAGGCAACATTGGTGGCCTAGTGACAGAGAGCTGCCCTGTCAACCCAAAGGCATGCAGTTTGAATCTACTAATTGGCTCCATGAATGATCTGCTGCCTTTGAAAACCTACTGGAGGGTAAGCCAAGGGCTGGTTCTGACTCGATGGTACATACCACAACATAACAACAGCCTTTACATTTTGAGACTCCGCAGAACAATATTTCTTTTCCTCAAAAACCTTTCTTTTCCCATCAACAAACGAATGGCTAGAGAAGCTATGGTATATTCGCACAATGGAATACTATGCTGCATTAAAAAACAAGGAACTCATGCAATATTATTCAAAATGGTTGACTCTGGAGAACATTATGCTGAGTGAAATATCCCAGTCACAAAAGGACAAATATTACATGATGCCACTGTTGTAGAATGGGACTAAACTCGGGGTTGGGGAGAGACTGAGTAAGATGGGTTCAATAATGTATACTGCACTGAAACAGAGGAGGGAGAAAACTGTTTAAAAGAGATATGTGACTAGGTATTTCTGTCATCACAGGAGTCTAGAGCGAGGGCTACATGGTGGAGAGGACCTGGGGGAGGGTTTGTAAAACAATGAAAGAATCTTTTCTTTTACTTTTCCATAATTTTTGACCCATGTACTTATAACTTGTTAGTTAAATTTGTGTCTTCTAGGTTGCAACACCCCCATGATACATCTTCAAGGATATGAACATGTACGGCCAAGCACAATCAATAAGAGTGCATCTAAATTCCAGAATCAATCTCCATAATAGTCTATGTGTTTCCTACTGCCAAAGGGGCCCTTTAGAGTAGTGAGAGAAGATCTTCACCCTGAAACCCACAGCGTCCCTTTTCAGCAGGAAGTAGCTAAGAGAATACGCCATCCCCTTTTCCTTATGAATCAGGGTGAAGTCTCTCTCAGGGAGGAGTGATAGGGAATGGCAAAGGACACACCGACAAAGGAGATTAATCAGAACTGACTTTGACAAGCACTGTGGCAATTGGACAATTAAAACAGACATTCAGATGGCGGGGAAGAAGAACAAACTGGGGAGGAGGGTAGAGAGAATGGTGCAGCAATGAAGGAATGAGAACCCAAAATCCCTGTAAATGTTCATTAAAACTAATAAAATTTAAAAAAAAACACCTTTTTTTGTATTCTTGAGTTATTGTACAATGTTTTTGTGATAGATTTTTCTATTTGCCCTATATTTACCCTTTTGGCTTGTTATTTGAAACAAAACTTCATTTGAATTATATTGAATAGCTGTCTTTTGTTTGAAATCAAGTGGTTTCTATAAACTAATTTTAAGTTGTTGTTCTTGTTGTGTACCATCGATTGGAAATGACCCATAGCCAACCCTCCAGCAGGTTCTCAGAGGCAGTTGGTCTAACGGAAGGAGATTGCCTATTCCTTTCCCAAGGACTCAAACCACGTGCCTTTGGGATTGCCACACAGATTCTTGCCACTTAGCCACCAGAGCTCCCTAAGTAAATTTTTTAATCCAGAAATATTTTTATTTTATTCTTAAAAGTTCTGAAAAATTATGTCTTATAATAAATGATTACTTACTTTTCAGAAGTTGATAACTGTATTTGAACGGTTACTTGGTGCCCGGTAAGCAGTCACCTTTTATATAACCTATTATTGTTAATGTTTTCTGGCCACAGTTGATCAAACCAGGGATGGGTGCCAGGACAACCACCACTGGATGGGATATCAAAAAAGTAACCAGCTCTTAAGAGATTGATATTAATTCTACTCAACTATTCCAAGTTGTTTTATGCACGTCTAATCATATGTTCTTCTTGAGGGTGCAAAAATGCAAGATAAAACAGCAACAACAAAAAAATGTTCCAACACCACTGCGTGATTCTGAGGAAACTTCCTGGTCCTCTGAGGTGGACATGTCAGAATCGCAGTGTTGAAAAGCCTGGAATCCACAGGATGCTTTTTATAAGTCACGAGGTGAAGGCTGCTGCCTGGCAGCCCTAGGAATCTCTGCAAGAAACCTCCATCATAAAGGTCCTTTGCAGGACTTTTTTTTTTTCTGGAGCATACTTCTGTCTGATCAATATACACTGAAATATGTGAGGATGAAACAGAGTAGTTGCAGTTCTACTAACCTGGGCATCCTTTCTCATGAGATTATCATCCAGATAATTTCCTTCATCCCTGCCACCCTAAGGATGAGAAAAGACAGAAGAACATGAGAGCGTATCCAGGACGATTTCAGAAACACTATTAAATGTCTGGGATCCCAAGAACGTGATAATCAGGCAGAAGGTTTAGAGTGACCGGGCTTCAGACCTGAGGAGGCAGGGCAGGTGTTTACTGAATGCATTCTCACTATGACCATGGCTCTGGCTGGCACAGACGGACCATCACCACCAGAGGGCAAAGCCGGTGCTTCCTGACCACTGCACGGTTGGCTGCCAACAGGAAGGGAAGGAGGAGGAATGCTGTCCACTGACTGTTCCCTCCATTTCTACTCCAACCCTATCCCATGCCTGGGTCTTTCCAACTGACTCATTCCTTCTTACACTGGACAAAATCTGTCACAAGGGCATTGAAAACAGAGGAAACACACCACAGAAGAGTCCATTCTGAATCACTGAGACCATATTGCAGAGAATTGCCTCATCCAGTTGCCAAGGCTGCAAGGATTTAAATTGCTGGCCTTCTCCTTAGTAGCCAAATACCATCAGGGCTCAATTGAGGATAGAAATGGGTCAAGAGAATCTGATGTCAGTGATGGAGCATAGGGAAAGACACGCGTGTACCCCATCTCTCCCCAACACCAGCTCATAGTAGGACAGGGCTGAAGCCTCAGAGGCCTCTGAGTGGGAGATGAAAAGGGCTCCTTCATCTGGTTTGCTCTTTGAGGATTCTAAGGTCTCAGCGTAACTCAGAAGTGTGGTTAAGTATGAGAGGGAAAAGTGAGCACTGGTAGGAAACTAGAACTGACAGGAATTAATGAGCAGATATCAGAGGCAAACTGAGTGAAATCACTGTGGTTTAACTTGGAGTGTTGGCCAACATCAATAATAATAACAAATAGAACAGTCAGGAAGAAAAGTCAGTGTACGGGGAAAATGAATTCAATTTTAAGAGGAATGATTTGAGGCGATAGTATAATACCCATTAAGCATAGGGAACTCCTGAGAGCCAGTGAGAAACTCAAATCTTCACTCAGAAGGGAGGGGTCAGGGATACAGATAAACTGGGAAGTCATGTGAAATCTCTCAAGTATCCATCTTCCCTTTTCTGGAACTTCTGTTCCCATCCTAACCTGCTCTTGTTGCTTCTTACTTGGTCTCCAGTCTCCTGTTTCTACCCACTCCAATTCATCTGACCCATTATTAGTAAACTAACTAAATCCAGTTCCAGTCATATCACCCTGCTACTCCAAGACCATCATGACTCCCTGTTGTTGGGTGCAGTTGAATTGTTTTCACTCACAGTAGCCCCATACAGCAGGGTCAAAGATCTACCATATTTCCTAGGCTGAAATATATACACAGGAGCAGACTGCCAGGTTTTTTCTCCTTCAGCAGCCGGTGGGCACGAACTACTGAGCTTCTGGTTAGCAGCCAAGCATTTAACCATTGCTACACCAAAGCTCTTTGAGAGGGTCCCTACTGCTATCTAAGTTAAAGGGTAAACTTCTTCAACCCTACTTTCTTCTTCCACCTCACTCCCTGGAGCCAGCCATCTGTGGAGCAGCTCACTGCGCATGTCCTGAGCTGCCTGCTATTCATCCTGCCTGGGAAGCACCTGTACATGTCTCCAGAACCCCTCACTATCCTCCAGGTCCTCTCAGAACCATCATTTCTGCCATAAAGTTTCTCTAGCCAAAATCTTTTCCTAGAGCCTTCCTTTTATAACAGGCTTCTTCTTTGTCATTTAATGTTTTCATGCCTATAGCAATTGGTGCATTGATGTGTTCCCTTATCACAATCTGAACACATAAAGCACAGGAACCATCTCCTCCTCATCATAATGCTCATTATTTGAGAAGGATACCAAAAGCTATTATACTCACATCAAACAGACTACCACAGGGCTGACCCTCCATTGACTCTATGGGAAGAGATGTCCATCCATCTTCTGAGGAGCTTTTGGAAGTTCAAACCTTTCAGTGAGCGGCCCACACAAAACCTACTACACTACTAGAGCTCCTTAGCACTTATCCACTCATGCACCCGTTGCTACTGACAGTGCCAACTCTTAGTGCCCCTTCATTGCGTCTCTGAGGCTCTTCTTTAAAATCCACCAGTTGCTCCTTGAAAGTAAGGTAGGCATTCTCCTTCTCTATAAATTATAGCTTCTGCAAACCTACTGGAAGGTCAGCTGTGAGTTGGTTCAGCCTTGACAGCAATGAGAGGAGCTCTTATTAGGCACTTGTAAATATTTATTGAATTCAGTTTGACATATATGACTAGCCAGTGTCTTTTATTTATTTTTTAATTATTTTTTCTGTATGAGTACCATCAAGTTGGATCTGACTGATACAGGAGGAGATTGTCTTTCCTTCTCCAGCAGAGCATCTGGTGGATTTGAACCACACACTTCTGGGATTAGCCATTGTCTTTTAAAGGAGTGATTGAGAAAAGAATAACAGGCTCAAGAACAAGATTTCAGAGTGAAAGGATGAGAAAGGCTGAAAAGGAGGATCAACAGTAGGCATCTCAGTAATCCTCCCACCTCCACAAAAGCCGGCAATAATGGTTGCAACTCACAGCTAACAGAGACACAAGCACGCGCTGGAACATGAAGGACGTGTCAGAGCAAATGTCATCCTCAAGGCTCCGTCCATATTCTAACAAGAGAGCATAATTAGCTGCGTCAGTGAGTGCGTACTCCATGCCTGTGTCACCTTCCGGGATGCTCTGACCTCTCCAGTGTGGGCCTGCTCACTGAAGCAGTTTACCACACACCGTTACCAGCTGCTGTTGAGGGGACTGTGACTCCTATGTGTCAGAGATGAGCTGTGCTGTACAGGATTTTCAATGCGTGGACTCAGCAGATGAGTGTGTTGACTATTTGCACCACCCAGGGATTCTACATGATTATTGTAAGACTAAACTGACTACCAAATGGTCAAATTAATTGTATGTTATCATTACGGTGGAAATGAGATGTTCCAATTACTCAGGATGGGCGTGGAGAAGTCAAGCACTCTCTTGCCTTACTCTATGACACTGATGGGTTTTTTTGGAGGGCTCTGTCTTTTTTTTTTTTTTTTTCCCAAATGTACATTTTTTATTAAAAAAGTAGAATGAAAGAAAGATACAAACCCAACAATTTATAAGCTATAATTTTAATTAATGTTTTAATTAAAATATTAATATCTCAATAAAATATGCAAATGCATTTGGATGACAATACATGTGAGTTCTCAAATATTTTCATGAACAGAAGAGAAATACACCTTAAAAATGACACGGACAGTTATTAACTTTCTGTCCACTAGGTGGCACTTATGTAGGAGGGCTCTGTCTTGAACACAGCTTCAGGTGATGCAGAGAGCAGTACCTGCAGTGTTTCTAAACTGTGAATGGAGTGGATGGGGCACAATCAGGCACAGCGTATGCCTTCCAGGTCACAGCCCTTGCTTAAGAGGTTCTGAGAGCCTCCCCAAGAAAGTTCAAATCCCATACAGCCTTCAGAGAAAAAAACCAAATCACCCTGAATTCAGCAAATATACGGGTCTGCTGCTAAAGTGCAAACCAAACACCTAAGGTTTAAAATCTACTGCTCAGATTTGCCAAAAAATTACTGGTTTGTTTCCTTTCTATAAAAGTAGTAATGTTAATGTTGGAAAGCTTGGAAGAGACAGGAAACAACACAAGTCATTCAACTAAAAATAGCCATTGCTAATATTTTCGTGGCTGGTTTTTGGTTTTTCTTTATGTATTCATGAAGATATTCATAAGAACACAGCGTCTTAACACACTATTACTTTTTCCCCCCCGTTCAGGTACATAGGGTTTGTGTGTGTGCTTCACACTTTCCTTCATTGATATGATTTCTTTTTGCAATTATTGTGTATATTATAATGCAAGTTAATAGAATTATTAAAAGATAAGTTGTAATAACTACATAATATGTTATTGTGTGGATGTACTTCAGTTTGTTTAGCTAATTTGCTACTGTTCGGATATTTTTAGCTGATGTAAATAACACTGAATAAATATCAGGATAAAAAATTTTGTGCAAATTTTATTTTAACTATAATGAATGATGAGTAGGACAAAATTACAGACATTTTTTAACAGCTTACCATACATGTTGTCCTCTGGAGACTTCTTTTTTTTTTTTTTTTTTGTGCCAGGAAATTTTTTTTTTTCTATAATTATAGCAAATGGTTATGGGTTTGAAATGGCTATAAGGCACACATTCTAATCTGAAGGTAAGGAGCTAAACCACAGCCTCTCCAGATCATTCTATAGAGTTTTTAAATGGTGCCAAGTACTCTTTACTTTTTACTCTTTTTTAAATTTTTCACTCTTATAATAAAGAACTTTCAGGGTAATAGAGCACTGCACAGAGCAACCCAAGTAGATTGGAGTCTTCGCCAGAGGAGCCTCAAGAAGCAAACAGTAATTTGCCTTGACAGGGATCTGTCTTGAAGCAGACCCTGGAACTGAGTCCCCTTTGTGGTCAGCTTTCCCCTGAAATGGACTCATTTTCAACAACCTCTCATTAATGGAGAACGCCCCCACCTCCAGTATTCCCCTTCCTCTAATCTCAGGTACACCTTGGCAGGGACACTAGTAACGTTACATACGTAGTTGGTAGGTCTCCTTGATACGCTGGATCTCCGCAGTGGTCCTGGAGGTCAGGATCTCAATCAGGCAGCCCTCATCAGTGCCAGCTCCCTAGAGAGGAAATGCAAAAAGAAAGCATTATAAGCTAGTTTATACAGTGGTGCCCCAGACACAAGAGACATACAAAAATGATCTGCAGAAAAAAAAAGGCAAACCACTGAGTTCTAGCGACTGTGGTGTGCTTATTTTTATTGGTCTGTCACATACACAAAGTGTTTATCAAAATCACTGACAGTAATAACAAGCATTTATAGACTGTTCAGTATGTACAGTTATGTCAGATTAGGCATAATTTCTGTTTTCTAGGGGTTTAATATAATTGATCATTTTGTTATTTGCTAACACAAATCACACAGTTGACCTATACATAGATCAAGAAGCACTTGTCCAAACAGAACAAGTATGTCTTAAAACCAGGGAAGGTGTGCACCAAGGTTGTATCCTCTCTCCACATCTATTTAATCTGCATGCTAAGCGAATCATTCTAGAAGTTGGACTATACAAAGAGGAATGTAGTATCAATACTGAAGAAGCCTCATTAACAACTTGTCTTATGCAGAAGAAACAACCCTGCATACAGAATGTGAAGATGACTTGAAGGAAAAAAAAAGAAGAAGAAGATGATGACTTGAAAAACCCACTGTAAAATATTGATTACAATTCAACATCAAGAAAAGAAAAATTCTCATCACTGGGCCAACAGGCAACATGATAGATGAAAAAAGATTTGAAGTTGTCAATGATTTCACTTTACTGGATCCACAATCAACACTAATGGTTGTTGTGTGTTGTTATGTGTTGAGTTGCCTGTGACTCACAGTTTCATTGACTCTGACACAACCCCCACTGCGGCAGGTACTAAGTCATCTCATCTGGGTTCTTCCTCCCCTGGACTGTCTGTCCCTCCACCCTTCCAAGCATGATGTCCTTCTGCAAGAAACGGCCCCGCTGGCCAAATGTCCAAAGGATATGAGACAGAGGTTCACAATCCTAGCCTCCAAGGAGTATCTCAGTTTCACCCTTTCTAGGATAGACCTTGGCAGTCCATGGTATGTTCAACACTCTTCTCCAGCACCACAACTCAAAGGCATCGATTCTTCTTCTATCATCCTTAATCATTGTCCAGCTCTGTGATGCATAGCAAGTAATTTGGAAAACTATGTCTTGGATCAGGCACATCTTAGTCTCTAGACTGACATCATTCTCTTCAGTACTATGGAAAGGTTCCTGTCAGCAGATTTTTCTCAGTGCAATCATCTTTTGATTTCCTGACTGCTGGTGCCAAGAGTGTAGATCATGGAACCAAGCAAGCTGAAACTGTTAACAATCTCAATCTCTTCTCCATCTATCATAATGCTATCAATGGGCTCAGTGGTGAATACCTTGTTTTCTTGATGTTGAGCTTCAGCCCATATTGAAGACTACAGTCCTTGATACTCTGCAACAAGCGCTTTAAGTCCTCCTCAATTTCAGCAAACAAGGTTGTGTCATCTGTATAACACATGCTGTTGATGAGTCTTCCTCCAATCTTGAAGCTACATTCCTCCTCATAGAATCCAGCCTCCTAAATGATCTGTTCTGCATACAGATTGAAAAAGTATGGAGATAGGATGCATCCCTGGCGTACACATTTCCTGATGAACCATGCAGTGTTTCCTTGCTCTGTTCTAATGACAGCCTCCTGGTCCAAGTATAGATTTCACATGAGCACAATCAAGTGTTCTGAGATTCCCATCCTTCCCAAGATTAGGTACAATTTGTTGTGATCCACACAATCAAATGCCTTTGCATAGTCAATGAAACACAGATAGACATTCCTTGGTACTCTCTACTTTCAGCTAAGATCCATCTAAGATTGGCTGTAATGTCCCTAGTGCCACGGCCTCTTCTAAACCCAACCTGTACATCTGGAAGCTCCCTGTTGATGTACTGTTTCAGTCATTTTTGGATAACATTTAGCAGGATCTTGCTTGTATGAGGTATTAATGATAATGTACAATCATTTCCACACTCTGTCAGATCACTGTTTTTTGGAACAGGAATAAATATGGACCTCTTCCAGTCAGTTAGCCAGGTAGTTGTTCCCTAGATATCTTCGCACAACTTCGTGAGTGCATCCAGAACAGCATCTGTTTGTTGAAATATGTCAGTTGGTATGCCATCAATTCCTGGGGCTTTGTAAAAAGAAATCGCATAAACATTTTTTATTGGGAAAATCTGCAAAAAAAAAATTTTTTTTAAACCCCAAAACAAACCAAGGTGCACCTGATCCAAGTCATGTTAGTTTTGATTGCTTCCTATGCATCTGAAAGTTGGACAATGAATAAAGAAGACTGAAGGAGAATCAATGATTTTGAATTGTGGTGTTGGAGAAGAGTACTGAATAGCCCATGGATTTTGACAAGAACAAACAAATCTGTGCTGGAGAAAGTGCAGACAGAGTGATTCTTAAGGCAAGGTTGGTGAAACTTCATCTCACACACTATGGACATGTGATCATGAGAGCTTAATCCTTGGAAAAAGACATCGTGCTGGGAAAGGCAGAGGGCCAGAGAGAGGAGTGGGAATCCACACAGTGACTATAACAATGGGCTCGAACATATCAAAGATTGTGAGAACGACACAGGATAGTGCAAGGTTCAGATCAGTTGTTCATAGGCTGGCTATGAATCACAGCAGACTCAACAGCATATAACAACAACAGGTGCTTAACCTTGCCTTGATTATCCCTGTTCTCTTTCTCTGAAGGGCAAAATTTTTTGGCAAAGATTTCGTGACTGTGTTGCTTTTCTAGAACCTTCCACAATGATTATTTATTCATACAGTTAAAGAAGTCAATTGTATTTAGATTTCTACTTGGTCCCTTGATAAGACGATTGACACAATGACTGTGGCAATGGGATCAAGTGTGTCAGAGATGATAAGGATGGCACAGGATAGAACAGGACTCAGATCTGTGTTCATAGGGTCATTATGAGTTGTACTCAACTCGACAGCACTTAGCAACACTTTGTCATGAAGAATAAGCAGAGCTCAGGATAAGCTCAAGTGGTTGGTCATCTGAGAAGACTTGTGACACTTTTCCACAGTTCTAAGCCTATAGGACACTGGGAGGCCCCCAAGAAACCTTTCTGTATTTCAAAAACTAACTAACATGACAAGGGAATTTCAGCAACTACCCAAACCCAATACCACCTTATTGAAAATATTGGGTAGAGCAAATAGTTTCTCAGCTTTTTCAAAATTAATTTTCATATTGCAATCATTACAGAGTAATGTAGAATTTTCAAGTTGTCTCAAAAAAACAAACAAACAAACAAACAAACAAAAAATCTTTCTCCTATAGTTCACCCTCCCTTTCCAGGGAGGCCTCTGTCACAGTTCACTGAGGACGTGTGTGTGTTCACATGCCAGCAGGCGCACACACCTTCACTGCCCTCCTTAGCTCCTGCACATCGTACAGCACAGTGGGTGTCATCATTCCCACGATCACTTGCTCGAAGTTGCCACTCAGTTCTGACTTGAGGTCATCTATCAGGTCCTGCAACACAAGAATATGTCTCCCTTTAACTGGTAAAATCAAAGAAAAGCACATTGATGTTGATTGTGACCCCTGGTGACCCCGTATGTGACAGAGAAGAATGGCTCCCTGGGGGTTTCCTGGCTGTGACCGTCACAGAAGCAGCTACATTAGATCAGATACAATAGATAAGCCATACTTGACTTACATGGTCCACGTACTCCTGGGGGCCCTATTGCTCTTTCACAGGATATGTGAGGTCAGAATTATTTTTATAAAATATGTAATACCAAGACATTATTTGCCTTTTCCATTGCCATTATCTCAGGAATATATAATTTCCAAAAACTTCTTAACATTTGAAAAGTCTGTTAAAATAGCCCACCCTTTCCCAACTTCATACTCTATGTGATGCTAGATTTTTTCAAATACTTCTAGTTAAAAAAATAGTGCAACAAATGAAATGCAGAAGAAGATATGATAATCCAAGGTCTTTTAAGTCAAACCAAATATTGATTTTTATATTATAGGAAAGTATGCTATACACAGGTTCATGTGGAAGAGATGGTCTAGACTTTAATTAGTACCAGGGAGGTCTGCTGGCGTAGCCCACTAGGAGTGGTACTGCTAACTTAAAGGCCATGCCTGTCCAGCAGTTTGAACCCACCGACTTGAAGGAGAAAGATGGGCAATCTCTTCCTGTGCAAATTACAGATGATCAGTTATGGGTCAGTTCTGACCCCACGGCAATGAGTAATTAATTAGTGTTAGAGCCTCTTTAAAACTGACTTAAAATATTTAATTTGGTGAATGGCTAACAAGAAAGTGTAGTACAAAGCCATAGAGACAGTGAAAAGATCAGTGGTTGCCAGGGGTAAGGGATGAGGGGTGAGGGAAGGATAAAGAGGTGGAGCCCTGGAGGTGGTACACTATCTGGAAGGACTCCTGATGCCAGAGTATGTTAAACCCTGGGCCGTGAACGGAAAGGATGGCAGCGCAGCCACACCACAGGAGAAAGCAGAGGCACAGCACCTTAGAGCACAGTGACCCTTAATACAGAGTGTGACTTTGGTAAACAATAACTTATTACTATTAATTTATCAATTCCATAGATTGTATGTCAGTACTCTTATAGCTGCATCTATCAGAGAAGAAGTAGGTAGAGAGGCACAAGAGAAACAAATGTAAGATTAATAACATTATGCAAAGGGGAGAGATATCTGAAAATAAAAACTTCGAACAGCCTAAGAAAAACATCTATTAGAAGAGGTCAAGGAAGAAGCAGCCACTGCCACAATGACCCAAAAAGAAGTCACTGTCCCCTCACCCCCAGCCGTCACAGCCATGGGAAAATACTGAAGCCCAGGCCCGCCGAAGCTTCCATGACTCACAATGGTGAGAGCTGGACACATACGCAACCTAGACTTTGTAAGGACTTGGGATAAGAGAGCCCAAGTTTTACTTTGAGGTTTGTGAACAAAAAGGTTCTTCAAGTCTCTTTCAGCTAAGACACTAAAACTTCTTTAAATAAAGTGAAAGTCTGTCACTTAAATTGCAGAGGCATTTCAGGAATCTGAGTAAGGCAGCCCAGCAAGGCTCTCAGCACAAACTGAACAAGCAGGAGGGAAGCCTACCCTGCCAATGTTGGTCTTGTAGGCGGTTCTGATTTCCTGGCGCTGGGCAGTGCTGCGGTAGGCAAGGATATTAATGATGCTGTCTTCATCGGTGCCTGGGGAATGGAAGAGACGATGAGAGAGCAGTGATAAAGTTGGCTTCTTTGCCGTCATTGCAGCGACCCAATGCAAGCTCTTATTTTGAGAGTTTGAATGCCATGTGGTCTACTTGCTAGATTACAATGTTCTTATAATCACCCAATGGAGTATGATAACCTAAAAAAAAAATAGTAGTCACAGTACTTCTCTAATTTTATCTACAAAAATAAAAATCAGAAGGCTCCATTGCTGAGGACAGTATCCTGTCTAGAGAGGCAGCAGGATTCCTGCTGGCCCTAGCTCTAGTCTAGGAGAGAAGCACAAGAATGGAGTTCTGACTTACTAGTTCTCTGATATTTCAGGTAAGTTATGTGACCTTCCAAAACCTCAGCTTTCTCATCAGTAAAAACAGCCTGTTATTAGGCTGCAAAGAAGTAATCCATGCATTAAGCATTGTGCTTGGCACAGTAAGAAAAGCTTAATAAATGTTGGCTGTTATTGTTATTAGTATCACTAGTACTAAGTAAAATGATCTCTTTTTAGATAGAAAGACTTGGGAATTCAGTTTCATACTCAAGTATTTTTGCCAAATCCCAGGAAGGTAGATTCTAAATAAAAGCAATGAGCTAAAGGATTCTCTCTTGCTAAAAGTACCCTCAAGCTGGGGAGTCAGCAGAACACTGTTCATCGCTGAGCCGCGAAGACGAGGCCTTCTGCTCATGTGGATTCAGTCTTTTCACATAAAGCCCTCAAACTGTACATTAGTACCATGAAGGCAAGAGCAGACAGAAGGACACTAGAGAGAGATGCCTTGATGGTAGGCCTGAGTTTGATACTGGCCCTGCGGAGTGTGAGCATAGTTCCATTTTATTAGACACGGTGAGAGTTACTTGACTCTTCTGGGTCTCGGTTTCCACGTCTGTAGAATGGAGCTAAGACAACAATAGTAGTAGCTGCTTTAACTGCATCACAAGGTGTATATCCAATGAGGTAACATAGGTGAAAGTGCTCTGTAAACCTTATAACATCATACATTTACTATTATCTAGAAAGCACATTCATTTCTATACAGACTCATAATTGTAACGCTCAAAATTACTAGGGAAACTAAGAATGAGTGTCTTAAGTACAAATTTCTGTAGTAAACAATTCATGTCCACCCTTCCAATATGAACGCTACTGTGGTTTTTAAAAAGACCAACTCCTGACTGCCAAGTGAGTGGACAGGTTATAGTTTAAATCAGCGAGCCCCTGAATGATTCTCTTTCCTCTTCATCCCTCCTGTTGTAAAAGAAACACATGTGATTCTTTGCTGTACAACCAACACAGGAGGAAGAATTCACCTCCTGTGGGTCACTTACCAAGCCCTTTCATGGCCTTCCTCAGGTTCTGAGCATCTTCAACAGCGTTGAATCCTGAAGCAGCTTTGACAGTGCCTCCCTTGGTTCCCTGGACACACAGAGAGAAGCATGACTGAGGGGCAACACCTTACCAACCTGAGGCAATATTTACTGCTCAATGAACATTAACTGAGCACCAGGTACTGTTCTAGGGAGCGTGGCAGTGTGAGATGAAACAGCCAGTAAAAAAAAACTAAGACTATAGAGACTTTGTAGAATACAAGAATGGTAAGAATGCTGTGAAGTAGACAGACAGAGGTTGAAGTGGGGCTGACTTAAGGAATGACATTTAGACAGAGATGTGAAAAACATAAATGTGAATACCCTGAGAAGTGTTCCAGGCAGAGGAAATAGCTATTGCAAAGGCCCGGAGGCTGGAGCTTCCGCAGGAGGAGCAGGACCAAAAGTCAGTGAGTGGGTTCCAGTGTGGTGGGCAAGGAAGTCAATGGTTGAAAAAGGTTACAGTATTGCCCATGAGATAATATTGCACCCCCAACGAGAAGGAAAAACTCAAAGCCGACTTTGATCAGGCCTGTAGAACCAAACAGCAATTAACAGACAACAGAGAGGCAAAAATAAGGTTTAGCCACACTGTCGTGCTGCAATCAGAAAAATTCAACCTGTATAAACCACACTGGACAAGTGATCCAGTTTCTTCAACAAAAGAGAGGAGGGAAGCTATAGCTTATAATAGTTTTAAAAGACACATCAATAAGCATAATGTATGGACCTTATTGGATCCTGAATTGAGTTGGGTTTTGTTTTTTGGGGTTTTTTTTGTTTGTTTTTAAAAAAACCCAGTTGTCAGCAAACTGGGAATTTGAACACTGACTTGATAATACTATTTTATTTACCCTGGTAAATCATTACTATTTTATTCTGGTAAAAAAATTATTATTTTATTTATTAGCTCTGTGCTAACCCAAAGACATATAGTTCAAATCCACCACCTGCTCTGTAGCAGAAAGATGGTCAGTCTCATTATCTGCACTTTATAGCTTCTGAAACCTGCTGGAGGGTCAGCTATGAATAGATTCCAACTTGACAGCACATGTTGTGTTGTTATGTGCTGTCAAGTCGCCTGCGACTCATAGCGACCCTATGTACAACAGCCCTAAACTCTGCTCTGTCCTGTGCCAATCTCACTGTCTCTGAGACTCCCATCCCGATTACCCCAGTCACTGAATCAATCCACCTCATAGAGGGCCTTCCTCTCCTGTGCTGTCCCTCCACCCTCCCAAGCATGATGTCCTTCTCCAAAGACCAGTCTCTCACAACATGTCCAAAGTATGTCAGACGGAGCCTCAGAATACTTGCCTCCAAGGAGCAGCCTGGTTTAACCCTTTCCAGGACGAATCTGTTTGTTTTCCTATAGCCACATAATGACAACAGTAACATTGCTCATATAATAACATTATTAATGTTAACTTTTTTTTAGGTACAATAATGACATTACAGGTGTAGCTTGGAGATACTGTGGATTCAGTTCCAGACCTGGTTTCAGACCAAAATAAAGGTAACAACACAATAAAGTGAGTCACATGAAACTTTTTTGGTTTTCTAGTGCAGATAAAAGTTATGTTTGCACTATTACAGTCCATTAAGTGTCCAGTGATATTATGTCTAGAAAATGTACACACCTTAATTGAAAAATGCCTTATTGTTAAAACACTAACCAACAGATGTTATACTCATTTGGCTAGGGGAGGTTCCCGCCTCAGTGCTGACTGATGACTGATCAGGGTGGTGGTGCTGATATTTAGGATGGCTGTAGTAATTGTTTAAAATAAGACAAAAAGGAAGTTTGTGGCACTGAATGACTCTTCCTTGCACTCAGACACTTATAAGTCACTGTGGAGCTACTAACTGGCCTCTTGCCAATATTGTCGTGTTTCAAACGGGATTAGGGAGGCCTAAGGGAGGGAGAGAGACAGTGACACCACCAGTCTGTAGAGCAGTCAGAACACATGCCATGTTTATAAAGTAAGTTTACTGTTTTATATGGAGGATGTTTACAAAATAATATCAAAGATGTTCCTGGGAAACAGTATCATCACATCATAGAATAATAAAAATGTTTTAGAATATTGTAAGAATTACAAAAATATGACACAAAGACTCAAAGTGAGCACATAAAAATAGTGCTATCGGCTCTCTGCTCCTCATCAATCAACAGTTAGCCCTCTTTCCTCGTGTATCCTCGGCCACATCCCTGAGACATGATGGTGAAAGTAAGAGGAAACAGATTAGGCCACACTGGTCACCAGGGCTGCTTTTAACTCTGGCGAAGTAGATACTGTTGCCATCAATGACCCCTTCATTTACCTCAACTGTTGTTATTGTTAGGTGACGTTGAGACGAGTATGACTCATAGCAACTCTATGAACAAAAGATCTGAACTCTGCTCAATCCTGTGCCATCGTCACACTTCCTGACACACAAGAGTCCATTGCACCAGGCACCACGTCAGTTCACCTGGTTGAGAGTCTTCCTCTCCTTCACTGACCTTCCACCCTTCCTAACATCCTGTCCTTCTCCAAGGAATAGCTCCTCCTAGCAACAAGCCCATAGTATGTGAGGCAAAGCCTCATCGTTCTTGCCTCCAAAGATCACTCTGGTTGCACCCTCTCCAAGACATATTTGTTTATTCTTTCAGTTGTCATGGGGATGTTCAGTGTTCTTCTCTAACACCACAGCTCAAAGGCATCTCTTCTTCTGTCGTCCTTATTCATTGTCCAGCTCTCAGATACACAGCAAGTGATTGGAATAACTATGGCCTGGATCAGACACATCTTAGTCCTTAAATTGACATCATTACTCCTCAATAATTTGAAGAGGTCCCTAACTGCTTGTTTTCCCAGCACAATACATCTCTTTATTTCCTGACTGCTAGTACTAAGGGTGTTCATTGTGAATCCAAGCAAGATGAAGTTGTTGACAGTTTCAATCTACTCTCCATCCATCATGGTGCTATCTACGGTCCACTGGTAAGAATCTTTGTTTTCTTGACAATGAGATGCAATCCATACTGAAGGCTGCATTCCTTGTTCTTCTGCAACAAGTGCTTCAAGTCCTCTTCACTTTAAGCAAGCAAAGTTGTGTCATCTGCGTAACAAAGGTTATTTCTGAGTCTCCCTCCAATCTTGATGCCACACTCACCTTCATAGAGGCCAGCTTCTCAAATAACTTGCTCAGCATACAGATTAAATAGGTTTGGAGAATACAACCCTGATGCACTCCCTTCTTAACTTTATATCATACAATGTTCCCCTGCTCTCTTCACCCAACAGCCTCCTGGTTCAGGTATAGGTTCTGTATGAACACAATTAAGTGTTCTGGGACTCCCATTTTTCTCCATGTTAGTCATAACTTTCTATGATCCACACAGTCTAATGCCTTTGCTTAGTCAATAAAGCACAAACAGACATTCTTCTGGTATTCTTTACTTTCAACCAGGATCCATCTGACAACAGCAATAATATCCCTGGTGCCACAGCCTCTTCTAAATCCTGCTTGAACTTCTGGAAGTTCCCTGTCAATGTACTGTTCTAGCCATTTTTAATAATCTTCAGCAGTATTTTGCTTGAATGTCATAGTAATGATATTATTCAATAGTTTTCACATTCAGTTGGATCACCATTCCCAAGAAAGAACTGACCTCAACTACATGGTTTGTATGTTTTAGTATTCTTACAATCATGGCAAGTTAAATGGCACTGCCAAGGCTGAGGATGGAAAGCTTGTCATCAGTGGGAAAGCCATCACTATCTCCCAGGAGTGAAAGTGGGGGGATGTTGATGCTGAGTATGTTGTGGAGTTCACTGGTGTCTTCACTACCTTGGAGAAGGCTGGGGCTCACTTGAAGGGTGGTGACAAATGGGTAGTCATTTCTGCTCCTTCTGCTGATGACCCATGCTTGTGATGGGTATGAACCATTAAGTATGATGATGACGCTCTCAAGATTGTCAGCAATGCCTCTTGCACGATCAACTGCTTGGCCCCCTGGCTAAGGTCATCTATGACAACTTGGCATCGTATCACCGCCACCCAGAAGACTGTGGATGGCCCCTCTGGAAAGCTGTGGTGTGATTGCTGTGGAGCTGCCCAGAACATTATTCCTGAATTTACTGCCACTGCGAAGTCTGTGGTTAAGGTCATCCCTGAACTGAATGGGAAAATTACTGGCATGGCTTTCTGTGTTCCCAACCCAAATGTGTCAGTCGTGGATTTGACCTGCTGTCTAGAGAAGGCTGCCAAATAAGATGACATCAAAAAAGTAGTAAAGCAGCCATCAGAAAGGCCCCTCAATGGCATCCTGGGATACACTGAAGACCAGATTGTCTCCTGTGACTTTAACAGTGACACCCACTTCTTCCAGCTTTGATGCTGGGACTGGTATTGCCCTGAGCGACCACTTTGTGAAATGCATTCCCTGGTATGACAATGAATTTGGCTAGAGCAAACAGGTGGTTGATCTGATGATTCACATGGCCTCAAAAGAAAAAGAGCCCTTTGGAACACCAGCCCCAGCAATAGCACTAGAACAGAGAGAAGAGACCCTCAGCTGCTGGGGAGTCTTTGCTTCAACTCAATCCCCACACACTGAGAATCTTACATTCTTGACAGTTTCCACCCAGCTTCCACTTTTGATGAAGAGGGGGGGCTTAGAAAGCCCACTTTGTCATATACCATCAATAAAGTACACTGTTCTCAAGAAAGAAAAAAAACCCCAAATCACTAAAAAACAAACAAACAAAAAAGCAGTGATAGCACTGTCTATAGAGACTTGCTTGATGCAGGATTGTTATAATCTTTCAGTCTATAAAAAATACAGTATCATCAAACCATAAAAAAAAAAGCCATTCAACAGAACAAGATTTACTTGTATGTATTGTTTAACTGAAGTGAAATGCATGTAATAGAAAATTAATCATTAACCATTTAAAAGTGTTAACATGTTATAACTCAGTACAGGAAGTACATTTACAATATTGCACAACTATCACATCCACCTAGTTTTAAGACATTTATATCACCCTTAAAGGAAAGCCCTGTACCTATTAGGAGTCAGCCGCCATATCCCCTTCTCCATAGTCCCTGACAACCACTCAGCTGCCTTTACTTTCTTGGATTTGCTTGTTCTGGATGCTTCACATAAACAGAATCATACAATATCTTTGGGTCTGGCTTCTTACACTTAGATTAATGCTTTCATGATTCATTCATGTACAAAGATTTTAAGCTCTCTGATAATTTAATTTGATACATGAATGTAAGCTAGGCTACTACTTAAAGACAGGCTATTGCTGTTGTTGTTAGTGCCATCAATCAACTATGACTCATAGTGACCTCTGAATAATGAATAGGAACCTTGCCCTATCCTGTGCCATCGTCATTAGAACATTTATATCTTTAGGGTCATGTATCAACCAGTTCGGGGCTCTGTGATCCAGTCCAGCTTGTCTTCGACCTCTTCAGCCCATCACTGCCCACTTGAAGCCTATCCTTGGACCTCAGGTATCAGAGGTGGCGGGTCCTGCCTAAGGAAAGACCAGGCTTTCCTGTCCTGGATATAGCTTGTGTCTAATACTCAGTCATCATATATCTCCTCTATTCACCTGACACATTACAGAAAACAAAAAAATCTAAGGCGTAAACTTAGGTTGTTAACAATTTTAGGTTGAAAAAAAATTTAAGTTGTTCGGCACACAATCAACATTTTTGGCTTCAATAGATGAATTGCACTGGGAAAATGTGCTGTCAGGGACCTCTCCAGAGTACTGAAGAGCAACAATAACAGTCAGGAGACTAAGGTGCACCTAATCCAGGCTATGACATTTGTATCTGCTGTAATACATCAGAGAGCCGGACAATGACTAAGGATGATAAAAGAATGGATGACTGAGTTGTGGTGCTGTAGAGGAGTCTTGTACAATGGACTGCCAAGAGAACAAACAGGTCTGTCTTGAAGAAGGTGAAACCAAATTTCTCCTTGGAAGCTGGGATTTTGAAGTTCCATCTCACATACTTTGAGCATATGATCACGAGGGACCCGTCCTTGGAGAAGGATATCAAGCTTGGAAGGGTGGACAGACAGTGCATGAGAGGAAAACTCTGGATAAGATGGATTGACTCAGTGTAATAGGGATAAGTGTGTCAGAGTCAGTGAGACTGGCACAGGACAGCATAGTTCAGACTGTTGTACATAGGGTTGCTATGAGTTACAGGTGACTCAACAACACATAACAACACCACCACAAGGCGTAAACTTTCTGTGGCATTGATTTCTTCTCTTTACTATATATTAGTTCCTTCAACCTAAGCAAATTAGGCCTGGGCTAGGGAATGGGTTTAAGCATGGTAGACAGGGTAAGGATGGCACAGGATGGGGCAAGGTTTCAATCTGTTGCTCATAAGATCACTAGGAGTCAGACTGACTTGACAGAACCGAACAACAACAAAGCAAACTGGTGATTTGTTATCAAAATTCCAACAACACTTAATTAGTCCTAGAGCTCCCACCATCAGGCAGGTTTCTGAGTCAAACAACTTCATAAGGGTCTTTTCCAGCATAAGTTTTGAAACAATTTGGATGATGCTCTAATATTGGATTTCATTTTAGAGCAAAATGTATTGCTGAAGGACATTAGTATGGGATTAAAATTAATAACTAACAAGATAATTCAATACAGGGTTTTACAGGGGTTATCATTTGCAGTTTATCATTTGGCATTTTCAGTGACTCTTTGTTCCCTAGGAAAAGATAATCTAGCCACCCTAAAACATCTATATTGATTGATTTCTAGGGCACAATGTGCCATTATTTACTGGGAAGGAAGGGAATTCTATTCCAGGAGGCTATCTGTGAGAACAGGTAAAGTGATCATCAAGGACATAGTGAAGATACAATAACAGCTGAAAAATAACAGCTGAAAAGGGATGTTATATCATAACTGATGAAAAATTATTCCACCATTAAATAATAATGAAGATAACAAATGTAAAAAATATTAGGATACAATTATAGTGGAATACTAATCCAGACCATGGTCTTCGCAATTACTTGTTATGTATCAGATAGCTGGACAATGACTAAGGATGATAAAAGAAGAATCTATGCCTTTGGGTTGTGGTGCTGGAGTATTGAACATACCCTGGACTGCCAAGAGAACAAACAAGTCTGTCCTGGAGAGAGTGAAACCAGGCTGCTCCTTGGAGGCAAGGATTTTGAAACTCCCTCTACCTACTTTGGGTATGTTGTCAAGAGGGGCCAGTCCTTGGAGAAGGACTTCATGCTTGGAAGGGTGGAGGAAGAGTGCAGGAGAGGAAGACCCTGGATGATATGGATTGACACAGTAACTGAGGTAATTGGAGCAGCAGTGTCAAAAGACAGTGAAATTAGTACAGGAGAGAGCAGGGTTAAGAGCTATTGTTTACAGGGTCAGTATGAGTAGCAGTCGACTCGACAGCATATAACAACAACAGTGGTAAACTTCAGAACTCTGCATTTTACCATGTATAAATTCTATCTCCATAAAGAAAAAATTTCTTCCATAATTGCAATGGCTTTTAAAACATATTTTTCTTTTGTAAATCTATTATAATGGTCATTGGCAGAGAATTTGGAAAAGAAAAAAATAATTTAGAAAATAAAAACTCCAGAAATGCAACTAGAGAGTCTTGTCTTGGAGGAGGTACAACATGAGTTTTACTTAGAGGCAATGATAAAGAAACTTCACCTCACATAGTTTGGGCATGTTGGCAGGTGGGTCAAGTCCTTGGAAAAAGATATCATGCTGAAAAAGGTGGAGAGTCAGAAAGAGTCAGGAAACCCTCAATAAGTTGGAAAGGTGGGTTGACACAGTGACTGTGGCACTGGGCTTAAGTCTATCAGAGATGCCAAAGACAGTGCAAGATAGGACAAGGTTCAAATCTGCTGTTCATGGGGCCATTATGAGTGGTAGTTAGATGGCACCTAACAACAACGAGTAAAGAACTGAGATATGGTGTGAAATTTAATATAAACATGTTAGCTAATAAGAAAAGCATAAACACATATTTTGTATCCAGTATGTATCATTTATCATTATATTCTGAGCATCTAGTCACCTTCCTTTAGGAAGATGGTTGTGCAAAGTAAACTATCTTGGACAATTAGCTATATTTTGTTTTTTAGATAAAGAAATCTAAATTAGACATTCCCTTCTAAAAATTTCTTCATTAACCTGACCAAGACTTTGTCCTGTCTCTCTAAAAGTTGCCGTGTTTTAGTTTATAATCCATTCCTTCCAGTCTCCACGTGAAGCCTGTAACCAAGCTAGGCGAACTTTTCACTCTAGGAAAATTACTACACTTACTCTCATCTTTCCTCTGACAACCTCTTTTTCCACCATGACTGTTATTTATAAGATAGGGGAAAGTGGGTGGGTGTTTGTTTTTTAAGGAAGGGAAAATGGTGAAAACTTGAGAATGTTAGAATCAAGTTATGATTTCTTTCTACAATTGCTCATTGTAGAAACACAGACTGTTATAGTCCAACTAATGCTTGAGTCCCCAGAGACTCAGAGTGGGCCACAGAGCCAGGGGCCAGAAGCATTTCTGAATAAATGTTCTTCATGCTATATGGAGATCCAAACTGTAGAAGGGAATGTCCAATTAACATCTCTTTTCCTAAAAAAAAGAGAATATAACAAACTAATTGTTCAAGATAGTTTGCTTTACACAGCCATCTTCCTAAAGGAAAGTGATTAGAGCTGGTGGGATTTCCAGTTCCTCTTCAGGTATAGCACAGTACATACTCCTATTATTCCTTTCAAAGCACCAGAGATAGAACCACCTGTCTACTCAGAAACCTTTTTGAGGTAGGAGAAGAGCAGATGGTTGTCTTAAAACAGAGCCATATTTGCAGCTGTGAAACTCAGCTTCCATTTCACACTCTATTTTCGATCTCAAATCTCAAAGAGATTCTATTTCCTACCCGCCCCAAAGATCAGATAACATAGACCACCGAGAGCAGGAGGCAGACGACAAGCCTTAATACTGAAAAATGATAGCCACGCTAACATGTCTAATATATTCACAGGAGACGATTTTTGTGTGGATAAATGTTTGGTTTTCTCATTTTTACACATTTAATTTACCTAAAATACCTATAGTAAGGATTTAGTGTGTTTGTACAGAAAAAAGGAACTTGTTTCTAACATTCTCAGGCTCCAAAAGTTTTCTTTTTGAATTAAGTTTCAGGATCAAGTTACTCACCAGCTGTGAAAGAACAATGTTCAGAGAGGAAAAGAAATGGCCTTTTCATTTTCACTCTCTCTCTCCATGCTGTCCAAACAATCCTTTGTTTAAGCCTCTAATATCTGTGTACACATCCTGTACCTGTCTCAGGCTGGTACCAGGTAGGGCGAGGCACCCCACAACTTACCATGGCCATGACGCTGGGTCAGGGTTGGAGTTCAATCACCCAAGCAGATGTCCCCTCTATGATAAAAACAGAGACGGGGAAAGTACAGTGATAAGAGAAAGACACTGAAATCAGGATAATTTTTATTTGTATTAAGTTACATCAGGAGCAAATGATACCTAACTTGACAAAAAGACCAGCTATTTATTAGCTAAAGTTGTAAGAAACAAGTTAATCATTGCTAAAAACTGTTAGAAAAGGGAACTTCACCATCCAGCCAACTGCTTTCCTATATGCTCTTCTATTTGGAGACATAAACCATAAAAATGGTTTATTTTGTTAGAGTGAAGTAACAGCATTTGAAATCAAGGTCAACACAAATACTAAACCACATATTAGAGCAAGATTGAGAGGACAGGCCAGTAACCAACACTAGACTCACAGCATTTCCCCCGTGGTTAGCTTCACTGCTTCCATCTCAGGGTTTCAAGTTGCCTTTCTGCTGTAAGCTACAGCCTTACATGGTCAACTTTGTCCTCGGCACCCTTTCCTTCTGCAGGAAGGTTTGAATCAAATTAACACCCCTTTATTCAGGCATTCAGAATGAAAGGAATGTCTTCATTTTAGTCTAGGAATCTTGGAGGATATACTTCAGAATATGCAACCACTTCCTCCTCAGCCCAGAACACACATATGCAGGTTCCTGAGAGGCAGGCCAATTACCTTCTTTTTCCTATTTATTTTTTTAAATAAAATTTTTACTTTATACTTTATACAACAAACTTTGTATATATTATTTTTCACATTAGAGATTTCTCTTTTCCTTTACCTACCCATCACTCCACCCATCAAATTGTGTGAAATTATGATTAACCACCTCCCATGCCACCCTATCCCACCAGGTTCTTTGTTTGGATATTTCAGGACAAGCCAAGGTATCACTTGAAAGCGTGTTAAAAATGCAGAATTTCAGGCCCCGTTTTAGATATAAAGTTGTAACTTGCATTTTTAAGAAGATTCCAAATATATTTATTTATTTATACAATAATTTGAAAACACGCTGGCTTTAGACAACCTTACCAAGCATCAATTTTCTATTATTTTACCAGAATAATAAAATCTGTAACTTGATTTATTAATACCTGAGCCGTGTTTGGTGGCACAGTAGATTAACTGTTGGCCTGCTAACTGAAACAACAGCATTCTGAATCCACCAGCCGCCCCAAGGGAAGAAGATTATGTAGTCTCTTCACATTAACATTTACAGCTTTGGAAACCCCAGTGCAAGGGTCGGCATGAGTTGGAACGGCCTCAGGAGCAGTGGGTGGGAGCCGTCTGGCCACCTTCACTTTCCATCTTACAGCTCTAATCAAGCCCAGCTCCATTCTTCCATAGTTTCCTATCATTCACTGCAGACTTACCTCATATTAGCAGTGAAAAAAAAAGGCAAACAAACAAAAAAATGACACAATTTACTGTTGAGTCAACACCAGCTCTTGGTGACCCCATGTACATCAGAGCAGAATTGAGCTCCAAAGGCTTTCCAGTGGGAGATTTTTCAAGCAGGTCCCTAGTCCTTTCTATGGAGCCTCTGGGGAGACTCAAATCTCTAACCTTTCTTTCATTTAGTAGCCAACGATGTCAACCATTGTACCACCCAGAGACTCCACCTCATATTAAGAGGGGTCTAGTCCCTTCATAAGGGAATGTCATCTGACTGTAGGACACAGCCTGAGCAAAGGTGCACAGGTGAGAAGGAGCAGTGATAAGTTCAAGAAACAAGATGAGGCTGATAGAACAGAGCATTCATTCCAGAGAAAGCTCAGATGTAAAGCTGGAAAAGCCAAAGGAGAACAAATAGGGAAAGACAAAAACCGGAAGCACTTGGAATAAAATATACATGAGAATTGTTTGGAAGGAAGCCTTTACTGGACTTGAGTCATGGACTGTCTAGATTTACTAATTCAGTTACCTGGTGGCATAGTCCACAGGCAGTTGCACTGCTAACTTTCTGCTAGTTTGACTTCACCAGAAGTTCCTCAGGAGAAAGATGGGTAATTTCCTCCCATGTGATTTATAGTCCCCAAAAACCAGCTGGAGAGTCAGCTATGAGATGGTTCTGATTTGATGGCAATGAGTTTGGGGGATTTTGTTTTATTTTATTGTAATTGATGGCAATAAGGCAAATAATCTACCTTCAAGGAGAGAGACAATAAATAAATATAATGATTGCAGATACCAATAAGAGTAAAATACAACAGGATAAGGGTATGCAGCATTAACTGGCAAAATGCAGCTCCTGTACAAAATCCGGTTTTCAAATAGCCTAGAGCCTGGATTTAAAGACAGAAAAGGAAGAAAAGACTGAGATGGATGTAGAAGAGACTTTAAATATTACACTAGAATGCCAAAAGCCAAAGCAAGAAAAGAAATCAAGAAATTAAGGAGCTGAACACAAGATTTCAAAGGGCAGCACAGGATTATGAAGTATTATAATGAAATGTGCAAAGAGTTGGTGGAGTCACTCACTTAGCATTTCTTTTTTTTTAATTTAGGTTGTTTATTTTTCATTTCAATGAACATCTACAGAGATTTTGGAATTCTATTCATTCATTATTGCACCCTTCTCCCCACACAAA